GGGGGCATGCAGGAGGCAGCTGATCCATGTTTTGCTCTCACATTGATGTTTCTCTCTCATTCCCTCTCCCTTTCTCTCTCTAAAAAACAAAGCAAAAAAACAAACCAGTAACACATCTTTTTAAAAAAGTGATAACATTTCACTTTTATTAAGCACTTACTATATGCCAGGCACTGTGCAAAGCATCCTGCCTGTGTCATGTGGTGGGAAGCTGGGAGGCAGGTGCTAGTACCGTCCCCCTGCTCACCAGTGTGGCGAGCGGGGCTTCAAGAGGTAAAGGACTGTTGAAGGTCACAGGTTCACACCCTTTTGTTTTTCAAAGGAAGCTTACTACAGATGAATCCAAGTGCTGGCATGTGACTCTGTTCCTGCTATTTAAGCCAGCTGAGAGGAACACTAATTTATTTGAGAGACTGAATGTCAGTGGTATTCTGGAAATAATGCCAGTTCACTGCTTGTAGGGTGACCGAAAAGGCCCAGGGAAAGGAGGGGGGGGCAACTGGTGGCCCCAGGTGCAGTCTAGTCTTGGGGGAATTCTCGTTGGAACCATCTCCTCTATAGAAAGAACACAGCAGTTGCCTTAGTTGATGGAGGAGCATGAGGGCTCCAGGTCTCATCAGACCCTGCCGCTCCCTCATTTTACCCACACAGCCTGCCTAGTCCCTGAGTTCTTCTACAACCTCTGGTTTGGGGCAATAGATCTGGAGAGTGAGGCTGGACGATTTGGGATAGAACTTACAGAAATGCGAGTGATATACCCCTTTCTATTTTCCAAGACCCTTTATACACACAGCCTCTAGGTCAGTGATGGCGAACCTATGACACGCGTGTCAAAGGTGACACGCTTTTTTGGTTGATTTTTCTTTGTTAAATGGCATTTACATATATAAAATAAATATCAAAAATATAAATCTTTGTTTTACTATGGTTGCAAATATCAAGAAATTTCTATATGTGACACGGCACCAGAGTTAAGTTAGGGTTTTTCAAAATGCTGACACGCCGAGCTCAAAGGTTCGCCATCACTGCTCTAGGTTCTATTCCTGCCAATGAGAATACAATGAGTGGTGCCTTGAAAATTTGGGGACCAGGTAGAGGTTTGGGTGGTTTCTCCTGGGTGAGGATGGTGGTGGTGATAGTAACTTTGGGGTGAAGTTTCCTCTGGCTCCAGATATTCCATGGTGCCACACTGAAGCTGGCCCAGGCACTGGGTTCTGTTCCTCTGCTTCCTGCTGCAGGCCCTGGCCTGGCTTTCATCGCCTACCCCCGGGCTGTGGTGATGCTGCCTTTTTCTCCTCTCTGGGCCTGCTGCTTCTTCTTCATGATCATCCTCCTGGGACTGGATAGCCAGGTATCAAGAGGCAGCTACTCAGAGGCTGAGAGATGAATCGGTGTGGGTGGGCTGGGCGAGGGGAAGCAGAGGCATGCGTTTGAGCTTGATGCCATGATGGACCTTAAAACAGCTGGGGACTTGATGAATGTCAGACGTGGATGCCCTTCCAGGGACCAAGAGGAGCTTGAAGGGTATGTCTAGACCAGCGGTTCTCAACCTGTGGGTCGCGACCCCTTTGGGGGCCGAACGACCCTTTCACAGGGGTAGCCTAAGACCATCGGAAAACACCTATATAATTACATATTGTTTTTGTGATTAATCACTATGCTTTAATTATGTTCAATTTGTAACAATGAAATTGGGGGTCACCACAACATGAGGAACTATATTAAAGGGTCGCGGCATTTGGAAGGTTGAGAACCACTGGTCTAGACCTAACTATGCAAGGATTGCTCTGGAGACCTGAGTCAGGGAGCCTGGCTGGGCTGAGCCAGAGCTAGTTGATGGAGCTTATTTTGGGAGCTCTCTTTCCCTCCAATTTTTTTGCCCTGTCATCCAGTTTGTGTGCGTAGAGAGCCTGGTGACGGCGCTGGTGGACTTGTACCCCCGTGTGTTCCGCAAGAAGAACCGGAGGGAGGTCCTCATCCTTGGAGTGTCTGTCATCTCCTTCCTTGTTGGGCTGGTTATGGTCACAGAGGTGAGGCTCTGGGAGGCTTGAAGGTGGGGACAGGGCGAAGAGGTGGAGCAAAGGTGGACAACTGCCACCTGTTCGGTGGAGCAGGCTGCTGTGGCTTCAGGGCACGGGGACTCTCTCCTTTCCTAACCACAGGAAGCACAGAGTAGGCCAGTCCCTCCTCTGGCCTTTGGGCATTGACCACCTACTTCTGGGGAATGGGTGAGGGGTAATCTGGCTCCATGTTAAACTAAGAGGTGTGGAAAGGATAGTCTCGGATGAGGAAAAACTGCCTGCCCAACAAGTTTTCATAATTTCCCAGGCGGCTGCACCAAGTTCTGGGGATAAACTTCAAGGGGAGAAAGGTCGCCCTGGGAATGGGTGGTATTCTGTGTGACGTCTCAGAGGAGAAGGAAGGCGATGGGGCTTGTCAGCCTGGTAATACCACTGCCAGCCCTACCCTGATCTGTGCCAAAAAAAGTGCACATTATGTCTTGGACATAACGTTTGGGTCAATCCCAGAATGTTCTCGGGGACAATCTAATAATAGCTGTCTTTTTCATCTTTCATCCGTCTAAAAACAACAATAAAAAATAATTATTGTTTCATACCTGCCTCGTGCCTTACAGCTTACAAACTACATTCTCTTTTAATATCTGTCTTCTGTGATCCCCACCAACTCTGTTCGGTGCCCTGAGGGTGTGAAGCTGGATGGCGAGGGGCTAAGTCTGTCTGTTTCCTCTGAATAAAGTTCTGTTTTTTTATCTCCTCCCCGGCAGGGCGGTATGTACGTGTTTCAGCTCTTTGACAACTACGCAGCCAGTGGCATGTGCCTCCTGTTCGTGGCCATCTTTGAGTCCCTCTGTGTGGCTTGGGTCTATGGTGAGTGACTCTCCCTAACCCAGTACTCACCTCTACCCCAGCCAGGGCCCTTAGACAAAAGAGAGGTGCCCACTGCTCACACCCACCTTTTCTTTGGACCCCTCCTCTACCCAACCTCAAAAATCTCAAGAACCCTAAGTTGCTACCATTGGAAGGGCCCTCCAGAGGTTATCTTGCCTACCCTCCTGGTTATGGCTGCACCGAAACCATTTCAGATGGGCCCATATCCTGTCCTATCCAAACCTTTTCAGCCTGTAACAGCCTTAACCATCAGAAAGTTATTGCCTCTGAATCCCAGGGAAGAGCTTTCCTCCAGCAGGGATCTGTAAAGACAGCCATGATATCTCCTGTGCATTGGTCCTTGCCCATCTTGGTACTTTGGATGCTGAAGAATGTCCTTTCTCTCCCTTCTTTCCTTCTCTACATTGTAGGAGCTGGGCGCTTCTATGACAACATTGAAGATATGATTGGGTACAGGCCTTGGCCTCTTATCAAATATTGTTGGCTCTTCCTCACACCAGCTGTGTGCACAGTAAGATAACCTTCAGGGAGGGAAGCCGGAGGAAGGGATAGAGAGATGGTAGCAGGAGGCTAGGTGGGCTGTTAGTCCGAGAAGGGGCTTCTCTGTGGGCATCGAGAGTCATTTGAGATTTTCATCCATCCTCCTGTTGGATTTTAGACAATGGCAGCAGAAGCATAAACTGAGGTCCAGAGCTGTCAGACTGTTTGACCAGCAACACAATGTGAGTGTAATGTTGCAGGCAGGATGGAAACCCAAGTGCATTGGGCCACTCATGATAACACTGAGAATCACAGCAATAATAATAGCAAAAGTTACAGAGCACGTACCTTGTGCTGGGCACAGAGTGCTTTATACATCTTAACCTATTTAATCCTCACAAGGACCCCACGAAGTAAGAATTGCTATTATATTTATTTGACAGAGAAACTGAAGCCAAAGGGGTTTAGCAATGTCCCCAAGCTAAAAAGTGGCCGAGGGCTAGGCTTCAAGCCCAGGTGCTGGGCTCCAGAGTCTGAGCCATGAACCACCTGCTTCCTCCAGTTTATCCATCTGAGTCAGCCACTCCCCAGCACGCACTATATTCAGGATCTAAGTGGGGCCTACCCTCTATCCTCGAGGTATGCAGAGCCTCACCAGATGGTACAGGAGACTTAAACAACTGAAAGCACCAGCAGGAACACTGTCATGTCTTAATTGGGAGCCAACCATGTTTAGAGGTGCCCATGGGCACAGGAGCCCTGGAGGGACAGGGTAGGTGCCCGGGAAACACCCACTGGGGGTATGTGGATTCTGAGCAGAGTGTGGATGGAGGCTGATTGGCCCAGATGAGCCTGGAGGAAAATCCAGGCTGGAGTGTGATCTCTGCCAGTTCCTCCAGGGGGCGCTAAGGGCACAGGGTCCCTGCTTCCCAGCCCCTTTCTCTTCTGATCTCACCCTCAGGCCACCTTCCTCTTCTCCTTGATCAAGTACACCCCGCTGACCTACAACAAGAAGTACACGTACCCCTGGTGGGGGGATGCCCTGGGCTGGCTCCTGGCTCTGTCCTCCATGGTCTGTATTCCTGCCTGGAGCTTCTACAAACTCAGCACCCTCAAGGGCTCCTTCAGAGAGGTAGGAAGTGAGTGGGGAGGAGGGCAGTCAGAGGGGGAGAAACCCTAGTGGATGATGATAGATGGCTGCCTGCCAGGGTAGACGCTGGTGCACTGGGGGCCGTGAGCCTGGTGTGGGGACCGGGGAGGGATGGAGTGAGTGCTTAAAAGTCTCAGAAAGAGACTGGATGCCTCCAAGACATGGGCTGCCATTGTAGGGTGGCACCTGGAGGGCATGATTGTGTATGGGGAGCAGGCAGGCACTGGTGATGAGGGCAACTGGAGACCTGCTACCCCCTCCCCGACTCCACCTCAAGGCAGCCACCTCCACTCTCCTTCCAGAGAATTCACCAGCTCGTGTGCCCAGCTGAGGAACTGACCCAGCGGAACCAAGCAGGACCCTCTACCCCTGCCACACCCAGGACATCACTTCTCAGACTCACAGAACTAGAGTCCCACTGCTAGGGGGCAGGCCCGTGGACAGTGCCTGTGGGCCTGGCTGTGGGGACAGCTGCAGAAGGGAGGGCAGGAGCAGTCCCTCTGTGCTTCTGTCTCCCACCTGGGGTAGATAAGACAAAGGGGCATTTTGGAATCCACCTTCTGAGCTGGGTGCCTCTCATCCAACTTCCCTGCCCCAGGGGTGGCTAAGCAGGTGTGAGCTGCTAGTATCCACAGCATCCCCTTTGAGGTGGGCTGGGGAAGCTGGGTGAGGACTGGTGGGTGGGATGGGAGGTCTGTTTGGCTTCTGGGCCCTCTTTCCCTTCATTCCATTAAATCCAAGTTCTTCCCACTGACCACTAGGAGTTCTGCCTGGTTCCTGCCCCTCCGCCTTGCTCCCTTGACCCCTTGATCACTTTAAAGCTGTGGCTTTAGGAGACCCCCATCTCCTTCCCTCGCTGAGTCCTTGTGGACCATGAGCAGAGGGGATTGCTGTGGGGAGAAGGGTGATGGGGCTGACTGAGGTCCTCCATCACCAGACACTCGGACCAGAGGGGGTGGTATCTGTCACACCTCTGTCCGTGCTTCTACTAGAGTCCTTCCCTCCTCCTCCCCTCTGTAGAATAAGGAAGGCAATGGAGAGGAGAATGGAGGAGGAGCCCTTCCTAGCTACAGGAAGGAAGTGGAAAAAGTGGTTGGGCTTCTTCTGCCCACGTTTCCCTTGCCTGACCCTGCCTGCCAACCCTGTGTCTGTGTGCCTGCCTGCCCAGGGCTTGGCGTCAGGGGCATAAGAGAGGGACAGCAGTGGCACTACCCGAGCTCAGCCAGCAGAGGGACCCCGCTTCCTCAGGACTCCAGGCTCTCCCGCTGAAAAGAGGATAGCTACCACTGCAGCACCACCAGACATGGAACAGGAGGGGGTGGCCTGCGCTGCGAGATGAACTCTTAGGGTT